AACGATCGGGCTAGTCTGCCGTCAGCAATTTTCAGGTCTATAGAGCAGGCATAAACCTCCATCATATATTGAAAACATTTTTCTGAGTAAACGCCTGACCCACCGTACTGTGTCCGGGGCAAAAGCCACATTGCTCGTCTTGAATTTTCTTCTTTATCACTGAAAAGCATCTCCTTTCCAAGCACTTTGTCTGAGCAAGGAGATGTCTTCGCAGTCCCTGCAGTTTCGCTGACGCCTTTTCTTGAACACGGGGATAACCATATCCGATTGCCACTGTTATGCTTTTCCAACTTCTACAGAATCTGCTATACCTGAGTCAGTCACAGAACACTATCGCGATTCAAAGCTGTTTCTAGCATCTCAAATATGGTTTCGTATTTCTCAACAGCTAAATATTTTAGCGGCAGCTAACAGCCATTGAGACTAATTTCTGGAGAAAATCTTCTACAGAAATTAAAGAAGGCATTTACTAGAATCACAACTTTTCACAGATCGGTCGGCAGCGGATCTCTGATTTTACAGACAAGGCATGTCTGTCAGAAAACACTGTAATTAAAACACAGTTTCTCTCCGAACGCAACCCAGAATTCCATCAAATATAATATTTGTCTGATTTGTCAGAGTAAGTTAAATTTTGATCGGTAAATTTTTACGATATCCAAAAAGCGGCGCCGCCCAATTGCATTAATACGTAAAGTAATTAATCAATTAAAAATGATGGATGTAAATTTTGTCGCACGATGGCCACATACGACAAACGCTAAAGCCAGCGTCTTAATACACCTTAAACTATTCAGCCATGAAGTGACTAACATTGACATTATGAAAAATATGATTTCCATACATCGCTTTTCCATCAGAATCATACGACGTATAGCACAACCACAACAAAGCATAGTAAACAGGCTAAAGCGACTGTCACGCATCCAGTCCACACGCAGCCTTCAATGGCTGCCTCTGTTCGCGAATACCGTCAACCCAAAACCTAGTCGATTCGACACCTTCGTCACCTGAAAAAGTACAGACAGAACGACTGGAAATCACGCACCACTCATCCACGTATCGCTTCTGTGTGGATGAATTTTATCGAGCAGTTGTCCGGTGTATATTTCAATGGTATTTGCACAATGTTTCATTCCAGAGTGATGATAAGACAGCATAAGAGCAGCAAACGATACCAGAACTTGAAGCTGCTGATGGTTGCCCATTGGTTCTGACTGTGAACTTTATGAGCAGTTACTCACATGAAAACTACGACCGTGCTGACAGACTTCAGGCCACCGGAATCACAGTTAGAAACCTTTTGCAAATCCAAGTAGATAGAAATAATGAACCACAGCAAATTCAAAACAATCGAAGTCTGTGTCAACGTTTCGTGATCTAATTGAAATTACTCAAAAATAAACATATCTAATTTCTGAAATAACCTTATGACGGATG